GCTTCTACTTCAAACAACTAGGAAATGCCAATCACACTCAAGAAAGAAAGACATGAGTAACCACAGAAACCAATGGAACTGAAAACGGCAAACAACAGAAAATACCAATGATATAAAAGACAAGCCCTCTGAAGGAAAAAAAAAATGAAATCAATGGCAACTTCTGGCAATACTGATCAAAATAAAAGATGGGAGAGAGGGTGAGAGAGAAAATACAAATTGCCAATAATAGATATAAAAGATACCTATTATTTATTTGCGGGGTAGGGGAAGGTCTTACTATGTAGCTCTGACTATCCAGGGACTAACTATGTAGCCCAGGCTGGCCTCAAACTCACAGTGCTGTGACTAGAGGTGTACGCTACCACCCCTGGCTTATTATTTATTCTTAGTAAGTGTGTGAGTACATAATGGAGGGCACAAATGCCACAGCACGCACTCAGAGGTCAGAGGACAACTCTGTAAATTTGGTTCTCTCCTTCCACTTTTATGTGAATTCCAGTGATTGAACTCAGGTCACCAGGCTTCAGCAACAAGTGGCATCACTAGCTGGGCCCTATTACAGGTCCAGGAAAGAACTAAACTGTCTACTATAACAGTAAAAGGAAGAAGAAGCCATTGCAAATAAAATCCTATCCATATACCTGACATCTTAGATGAAATGGCAAATACTCTGAAAGTCTAATGACTGGTTCTCACCCCAGAGGAAACATCTACAATCATTCAATCTCTATTAAAAATACTGGCATCACAGTTTAAAGTATCCAGGAGGGAAAACTACTAGCCCAGATAACTTCACTAGCAAATTTATCACATATTTATGGAAACAGTAACACCAATTCTACATATATTTTCCAGAAAATGGAAAAGAGCACTTCACAACCTATCTGATCAAAACCAGATGACAACTTATGAAATATTATACACCAATATTCATGGAGACGAAAGATCTTGAACTGTTAATAAATCAAGACTCTCTAGGGTTAATTTTGGGATGTAAGGCTGGTACAGGATTTCCAAGCCAAATAACTTATATTAATAAACTTGGGAGAGTCACTTCACCAAAGAAAAGAAATGAAGGCACCTGTGGTGGTTTGAAAGAAAATGGCCCCCAAAGGGAGTGGCACTATTAGGAGGTGTGGCCTTGTTGGAGTAGCTGTGGTCTTGATGGAGGAAGTATGTCTTTGTGGAAGTGGACTTTGAGGTCTCACATATGCTTAAGAAATGCATAATGAGATAGACCACTTTATGTTGCCTGCAAGACATAGGACTCTTGGCTACTTCTCCAGCACCAATCTGCCTACATGCCACCATGTCCCACCATGATAATAATGGACTGAACCTCTGAAACTGTAAGCAAGCCACCTCAATTAAATGTTTCCGTTTATAAGAGTTGCTGTGGTCACGGTGTCTCTTCACAGCAACAGAAAATTTAACTAAGACAGCACCATTCAAGATTCCAAAGGATGGAGACAACCAACAGTCCTACCCATCTATGACATCTTTGAGCCACAACAACCAGAGTGGCATGATAACTATAAGGGTGCAATAATGGTACATATACCTTAGCGGTAACCAACAGTTCTCTAATTGGAATTAAGACCTGCTCAACAAGAGGGAAACCATGCCTGGTACTGGAAACCTAGCCAACTACCCAGGGTTAGGGAAATCACAGATCTTGGAGGAGAACCTACAACTGCCACTTCACTAAGCCAGCATAGTCCTAACTGCTTTCTAAATATCTGTCCTTATGCCCACAGAAAGAACAGTTCTCACCCTCCACCAAGGAAATATCTCTTTGCAAGAGACAGAGACCATTACAGAAAACCACAGCTAATCAAATTGAAGTTGTGGAGTCCAGTGCCAACTACAACACAATTCCTGCACCTAAGATTCAGGGATCATTGTGGAAGAGGGGGCAGAAAGATTGCAAGAGCCAGAGGAACAATGAATTTGCTATTAGATTATATCTCCTAGCAATGTCAAAGCTACACCCATGATGTCTCACCAACATGGCTGTCATGTTGACAACACCAAGCGTGGTAGTGTGAATGTAACTGGCCCTCATAGGGAGTGGCTCATAGGGAGTGGCACTATTAGGAGGTGTGGCTTTGTTGGAGTGGGCATGGCCTTGTTGGAAGAAGTGTGTCACTGTGGGGGTGGGCTTTGAGGTTTCCTATGCTCAGGATAATGTTCAGTGATTCAGTTGACTTCCTATTGCCTGCAAGATGTAGGACTCTCAGCTACTTCTCCAGCACCATGTCTGCCTGCATGCCACCATGCTCCCCACCATGATGATAATGGACCAAACCTCTGAAACTGTAAGTGAGCCCCCTCAATTAAATGTTTTCACTTATAAGAGTTGCTGTGGTCATAGTGTCTCTTCACAGCAATAAAACCCCTAAGACATCAAGTGTTCCTTCATAATTTGTCTCTGGCAATCACTGCTATCTATTGTCCCTGTTGTTTTGTCTTCTTTCCCAGAATGTCATGAAAACGTAAGCACATGGTAGATACTCCTTAAATCTTAGCATAAGCAGTGGAAACTATGGATAGCTGCCTATTTTTGTAATGGCTCATATGCAAAGAATGATTTTTATTTTGAGACAGGGTCTCATTATGTATCCTTGGATGGCCTCAAACTCAGAGATCAACCTGCTTCTGCCTCCCAAGTGCTGGGATTAAAGGTGTGCACCACCATGTCCAGCAAGACTGATTTTTAAAAAGTTGAGGGAGAAAAGTCAAAAGGATAATACTTCATGATTAGAAAGTATATGAAGTCCAAATCCAATGTCCAGGATTGACATTCAATTGAGACACAGGCACACTCATTTGTAGACCTGATACCTGTGGTTGATCACATGCTACAGATGCAGTTACAGAGTTATGAGAGACCATATGGCTAGCAAATATTTACTGTCTGGCCCATATGGATAAAGTATGGTATAAAGGTAAACACACTCACAATCCAATGACTCTTTTGGGTACTTATCCAAGAAAACTTGAAATCTATTTTCACAAAATCTGTACACAAGTGTTTATGGTGGCAGTGGTTATAATCGCCTACAACTGAAAACACTAGAATCCCTCTACTGGTCAAGAACTAAACTGGTATAATCCACACACTGGAATATCACTTAACAAACAAAAGAATGAACTACTGACACAAGCAACAAAGGTCATTCTCAAACTTCTTATGCTAAGTCAGCATCAAACTTGTTCTACATAGGGCCAGACAGCAAATATTTAAGATTTGCTGGGTTTTCCAATAACCCAATATGCATCTAGACTCCTGTTTTTATAAAAGATCTTTATCTTTAATTGTAATTGTGAGTGTACACATGAGTGCACATGCTCATAAAAGGCTAAAAGCTGGAGTTACAGGAAGTTATGAGTAGGCAATCTGTTAATATACAACTTAAAATGGCCATTACACTAATGTGAAACTGTTTATGTCACAGAAAACTCAAGAAGTTCGGAGAACATTACCCTAAGAAAGCCAATCTTCATTATACCTGTGGCCTGCAATTCAAAAACGCTTGATTTATTTGCAGCCTCTGTTCCTACTTCCTTAAACTTTCCCTTTTAAGAGCCCTCACTGGCCCCCCAGGATTAAGGTGGACTTTGGACAAGAGTCCTTCATCTTTGCATTAAGCTGTTAGAATAAAAAGTCATCATCCTTACTAGGGATGGTGGCACATGTCTGTATTCCCCACACTCTGTAAATTCAGCCCTGAGGAGGCTGAGATGGAAGGATCATGAGTTCAAAGCTGTACTAGAGTTTTCCTGCCTGGCCCACAGTCAGGACAAATCTTTGTCACCCGCCAGTCCCACAGCTACTCAGACCCAACCAAGTAAACACAGAGACTTATATTGCTTACAAACTGTATGGCCATGGCAGGCTTCTTGCTAACTGTTCTTATAGCTTAAATTAATCCATTTTCATAAATCTATACCTTGCCATGTGGCTCATGGCTTACCGGCATCTTCACATGCTGCTTGTCCTGGTGGCGGCTGGCAGTGACTCCTTCTGCCTTCCTGTTCTTTCTTGCCTCCTTTCTGTTAGTCCCGCCTATCCTTCCTGCCTAGCCATTGGCCAATCAGTGTTTTATTTATTGACCAATACAATATTTATTGCCATACAGAACATCCACACAGTAAGTTGCCGTCTCAAAACAAAGCAAGGGCCTGGCCATTAATTCCAGCACTCAGGTGGCAGAAGCAGGCAGATCTCTGTGAGTTCAAGGTCAGCGTGGTCTAGATAGCAAGTTCCAGGCCAGCTTGGGCTATATAGTGAGATCCTGTCTCAAAAGACAACCCAAAAATATTGCCACTTGTCTCTCAACTGAACTGGCTTGTTCTGCAGGAAGCAGCCTCGCATATTTCTACCCCATTCCCAAACTAGTCTTCAGCCTTCCCTTTGATACTGTGAGTTTCCCTTGCTTTACTACACTCCCTTTCCACCTACATCAAACTGTAGTCCATCTGTCTCACAAAAAAACTGAACCGAGGGCAGGAAAGGTATTGCTGCAAGGCCTGATGACCTCTGCTCAATCCCTGGAACCCACAGGGTGAAAGGAGAAAAGTAAGTTGTCCTCTGACCTCAGTACACATTCACATATATGCTTACTTACACATGCATACAAAATAAATAAATAAATGTAAAAAAATTTAAAGAAATAACCAATTAAATAAATTTTGCACATTCTGGAAATTTTTGAACATTTTTGAACATTAGGTTTGGTATCTAATATATAAATAAAAATGATAAAAACAGGGCCTGACTTAGTGGCACATGCCTTTAATCCCAGCACTCAGGAGGTAGAGGCAGGCAGATAGATCTCTGTGAGTTCAAAGCTAGCCTGGTCTACATAGAGAGTTCAAGGACAGCCAGGGCTACACAGAAAGATCTTGTCTCAAAAGATTGCTAAGATACTATTTCAGACTTAAATAGGCTTGTTATCCGATCATCATGAAATTCAGCTTATCACATGGCATACCTGTGGCCCAGTAGTAAATATCCCAGTCATTGCTAGGCTCGTTAATTAGGCGATCATAGAGGTTCAGCTGCTTCTCTGTCATGTTGTGCAGATATTCTTTAGCAAAGAGGCTAAAAAGGAAAAGGAAAATGAGGTTGACAAGACTGCCTTGTCAAAGAGAAGTGACACCCAGAGCCCTCTTCCCGACTACCTAAGGAGAATACAGTTCTCCAGCATCCCCCTCTTCCTGCTCTCATAGAGTAGGCGGGCTCTTTTGGTTTCTATGGATTCATCAGTTCTCTCCTGCCATGGAGGCAAAGGAATTTCAATCATGTCTTTTTGAGAATCTGTTGGGCTGTCACCTCTGTAGAATCGTCTGGATGATGTCACACTGAACAAAGGAGACAGCAGGCTGTGCTTTGACAGTACCTGAAACAAACAAACCACAAATATCTTTATAAGACAATGGTTACTATCACTGCTATTCATTCAACACATAAGGTGCTAAATGCATTAGAACTCACTTAGTCCTTGTGCTGATTCTGGTCCCTTTATAGTAAAGCAAACAGAAACCAATGAATCTAAGACTTAGAGGTGATAGTCACTGAAATAGAACCACAGATACATGTTTATAAATTGGGCAACACCTCACTCTACAAGACAGAATGAATATTCCAGATGTACTGTTAACCAATCTTTCCAGAAATTACCCCAGCAGAAACATGTCTCCTTTTGCATTTCTTTAAAACTGTACAGTCCTATTGTGTTCCAGTTACTCACCTGCTAAAGCCAAGGATACCTAGGTCTCCTAAAGACTCCAAACCTAAGAATAGCATAAACCCTAAGACTTAATGAGAAGGTTGGATGATGACTCGGTAAGTAAGTGCCTGCTGTGCAAGCGTGAGGACCTGAGTGCAGAACCATGTAAGAGCCAAGCGTGGCAGGAATGGCATCCTGCATCTGTAACCCCAGCACAGGTGGATCCTACAAGTTCACTGGTCAGGGAGTCTAGCCAAAACAGAGATTCTGTCTCTGGAAATAAGGTGAAAATAGAGGAAGACACCTGAAGTTGACTTCTGGTCTCCACACACAAGGATAGGCAAGCACTTCCCTTCCTCCCCTTCCCTCTCTCACATACAAACATGTATCACACACATACACAAATTTTAAGACACAATGGTAAGGTGGTAATGTTAGCAAGATGGCAGAACAGGAAGACCCACATCCTCCTTGCCACCAAACCCTTCCAATGGAGATACTGACTCAACAATTCACAGATCTATTCTCTCTGTGAGAAGTCTGGGAAAACAGGCTCCTGCTCCCTAGGTAAGTACAAAATTAGCTGCCAATAGGAAGGCTGCACATACCATAATCCTGTTTTCCCCAACACTCTAACCCACCACCCAAGCACAAGATGATGGGGAAAATATCCCAGCATCAGGCTTCTACCTAGGAAAGAAAGGTAAGACTTCTAGAAGGTCATCCGAACAAGCTGAATCTAAGTGCTATAAGAAAAGGCACTTGGTTGAAAGCTGTAGCAAACGGTGATGGTTAACACAAACAGCATTCACTTGCCATAGTCCCCATTCCTGCCTTACTGCAGAATGAAAAAAAAAAGATCACAACTACCAATTTTTCCTGGGGAAACAGAACTGGGGTGTCCACCTAATGCTCTAGCGTTTCAGGGGCCGCCTACGAGGCTGGTCTTTGTCTCTCTTGTCTCAGAACAACAGGACACAACCCATTCCTGACACTTAGGGACCACAGAGACTAAGAAAGCTGAGCTGCTTACTTTTGGTGCAAAGGAAACCTTAGATAGCAGATAAAATCTAGTATCGTTCGGGAGCCTCTTCCCCAGGGCTCAGGAGTATATGGTCAATGTTCTGGAGCATGGGTGTTGGCATTGCCTAAGGGACTTGGTTGGTTTCTGTTTTGAACAACCTGCAACACTAATAGAGTCAACATACTCTTAGAAGTCCAGCAGCCACTGAGAATAAGAGAGCAGAGCAACTAGTTAGGCATGGTGCTTCATGCCTGTAATCCCAGCATTTGAGAGGCTAGAGCAGGGCTACTATGAAACTGAAGGGCTCCAATTCCAGACAAAACAGAGGGAAGAAAGGAAAGAGGAAGGGGACTCTGAGTAACTTTAGTAGTTACAAAGAAACTATAGCATCACAGACACTTGGGAAAGCTACTGATTATGAACTGATAGAGGAAGGTAAAGGTGCTTGTTTCCAAGCCTAAGGACCTGAGTTCTATCCCCAGAACACATGCACACAGAAGAAAGACATACAGAGAGACAGAGACAGACAGACAGATACCATCTTTTAAAAAAAAATGACTGAAACTTCCAAAATTGGAAAAAGAAACAGACACTTAGATTTGAGAAGCTCAAGAGACCTCAAGTATCATGAACCTAAGGAAGTCCACCAAGGCACAAATTGTCCAGCAAGTCAGAAATGTGCATGTATAAAGAAAGACCATGTGAGGGCAGAATGGCAAAGTGGCTATCTGCAAGTTGTGGAGCGAGACCACAAGAATTAACTGTACTACCGTCTTTATCCTAGATCTCAGTCTCCAGAACTTTAAAAACAGAAATTTCTGTTGTAAGGCACCTTTAGTAAATGAATACAGCATGCTTTGAAAGTTCAATTTCCTAAGCCACAGCCTAAGCATTCTGGACCAGCATCTCTGGAAAAGGCACTTGAAAATGCATTTTAGGGGCTGGAGAGATTAAGAGGTTCAGTGGTTAAGAGGACTGGCTGCTCTTTCAGTGGTCCTGAGTTTAATTCCAAGCAACCACATGGTGGCTCACAACCATCGATAGCAGGGTCTGATGCTCTCTTCTGGAATAAAGTTGTACATCCATATAGAGCACTCATTCATAAGTTAAAAAGAAAAAAAAAAAAAAGAAAATGCATTAAAAAAAATCCTTATGTGTACAAATATGGGTGCTGTGGTTATCGTTCTGCATAAATAAAACACTGACTGGCCAGTGGCAAGGCAGGAAGTATAGGCGGGACAAGGAGAGAGGAGAATTCTGGGAAGTGGAAGGCTGAGTGAGGGAGACACTGCCAGCCACCACCATGGCGAGCAGCATTATGAAGATGCTGGTAATCCAGGAGCCACGTGGCAAGGTATAGATTTATAGAAATGGATTAATTTAAGATGTAAGAACTAGATAGCTAGAAGCCTGAGCCATTAGGCCAAACAGTTTAAATAATATAAGCGTGTGTGTTTATTTTATAAGTGGGCTGTCAGACTGCCGGGGCTTGGCGGGACCCGGAGAGAAAACTCTCCAGCTACACATGGGTGCACATGTAGAGGTCAGAGGAACAGCTCAGGTGTCACTCTTCGCCTTCCACCTTGTTTTGCAACAGTTTCTTTGTTGTTCTCTACTGTGTATGTCAGCAGAGCTGGCCTGTGAACTTCCAGAGATTCTTTTGTCTTTACCTCCCATCTCGTCATAGCAGCACACTAGGCTGGCCTTGAACTTGCTAAAGAACCAAGGATGATGACCTTAAACTTCTCATTCTCCTGCCACCAACTTCAGAGTGCTAGAATTATAGGCATATGCTACTACTACACTCTATTGTATGTGACACTAGGGATCAAATCCAGGGCTTTCATGCATGATAGGTGTTGTGTACCAATTTCCTCCAGGATAAAAGCTTCAATTTTGGAGGGAAGCTCATTATGACACAGGATGTTGTTATTATTATTATTATTATTATTATTATTATTATTATTATTATTATTCACTATGTAGCCCTAGCTGGCCTGGAACTTGACTTCTAGGTCAGGCTGGTCTTGAACAAAGAGACCCTCCAGCATCTGCCTTATGCTACCACACCTAGCCAAGACACATATAATTTCAACTCCAGGGGATCCAACACCCTCTGCAGCTTTAGTGAGTGTTCAGTGGGTAGCTATACTCACAAGTGTGTGTGAGTACACACACACACACACACACACACACACACACACACACCAATTTCCAATCTAAAAAAAGTATACTCTATGGCATCAATATCTTGTACATAAGGAGTAGAAGTTCTTGTGTGCAGTTAAAATTATCAATTTAAAATAGACTTAGAAATATTCTATGTAAGCCTCATCATACCACAAGGAAAATTTCTGTAGAAGAGACGCAAAAGAAAATGAGATTGCTGAGGCTAGAAAGACAGCTCAGCAGTTAAGAGCATTTACTGCTCTTACATAAGACTGGGGTTGAGTTCCCAACACACTCAGCAGATGGCTTATACCCATCTATAACTCCAATTCCAGAAAATCCAACACCCTCTTCTGGCCTTCATGGGCACCTACACACACAGTATACATACACTCATGAAAGCACATACACATATGTACATACTTTTAATCTAAAGAAAGAGAGAGAGAGAGAGAAGAAAATGAGATTCCCTAGCATGCCAAAGCGCTCGCTGGGTTTGGGGCTTAGCTCAAAAAAAAAAAACAACAACAACAAAAACTGTCGCATGAGATAACGAACATTATATAGTATTAATAAGAGTTAGCAGAAAGGTGTAACAATCATAACTATATGTGGATCTAACATTAGAGAACACAAATCTATGAAACAGACACTGACAGAACTGAGAGAGAGAAAAAAACAGCAACATATTTTAATACCACACTTTCAATAAGGGACAGTACATCCAGACGAGGCAGGGCTTGGTTGGGGGGTTTCAATATTTGACAGCTAGAACAACACTATAAGTTTATCTAACTGAGATATACAGACATTCCATACAATAGACCGACCATACATTCCTCTCAAATGCATGGATGAACACGAGTTATATCACAAGTCTTGACAAATCACAACTACCTTTCAACAACACTGAAATAAAACCGCAAACCAACAGCATATGAAAACCGGAAAATTCACTGACATGCAGATACTTAAAACCACAGATCTGAACAACCAAAATGTTAAGAGTAATGAAAAACGCTTTTTAAAAAAAACTCGAGGCAGATTAAAGCCTAACAAAAAAGTGGAGATGGTACCAAAATAGTACCAAGATGTAAGTTTTTTTAAAAAAAAGAGTAAGCTAAGTGTGTTGATTCAAGCCTATAATCCCAGTAGTTGGGAAGATGAGGCAGGAGAATTGCGAATTAGAGGTCAGCCTAGGCAACACATTAAGACCGGCTAAAAAGGGGGGAGAAGGAACTGAAGACTTTAAGAACAGGAGCTAGAAGTGGGCGTTTGGAGGAGGTTAGGTAACTGTGCCTGGCGACTTAAGTAAGATTTGAGTTGTCTCGCACGATGACTGACGACTTAACCACACATTACCGAGTATTCTCACTCGAGCACACCGTGGCTTCAGCAAAGAACGGAGAAAGAGCTTCATGTCAGCGCCTGTACGAGCCTCGCCTTGACGGGATCTTTCCCTGGGCTGTGGGATAGCTGAACTCTCCCTAGAGTCTCCAGGACACAGACGAGAACAAAACAGTCCTAGCTGCTGCCCGCCCCGAACCCTAAATCTTCGGCTCTCTCACCCGCGCCAGCGTCGGGATCAAGGTGACCACCGCCATTTCTCCCTACAGCACCGGAAGCTGGCAGCCGGGCTACTTCCGGGAACCCCAGGCGGTCTGTCCGCGGACCTCACCAGTGGAGGTGGACCTCGCCGGTGGAGGTGGACCTCAAGCCGGAAGGCGCGTCCCAGCGTATGGCGGAAGTAGCGGTGCGTCTGACGCCGCCGGCGGGGGGGGCGGGACCTGGGGCGGAGAGCGGTTCGCGCGCTTCGGGCCTAGTCGGGACTCTCCGCGGCCGCCGCCATATTCCCGGTAACGGGGGCGCGCGGCCGGGGGCCGGCGGGGCCGGAAGGAGGGCCGGGGCTGGCGCCGCGGCGGGGAGGGGGGTCGGTTGAGGTGGCGGCGGTGGCGGAAGACGGCGGGTGGAGGGAAGCGCGGGCCTCCGAGGGAGGGGCTGAGGTCCTGGAGTGGAGCTGTGGGAGGGAGCAAGGGTAGGCCTAGCCGAGGGCGAGGACCGGGCCCGGTGGGAGTGGAGGCGGCGGTAGCTTCCGGGCCCGCGGGGGACTCCAGCTTGGGCCGCCCCCCGGGTCGAGCAGGTGCGGCGGGCTGAGCTGGCGGCTCTCGCTGCGATGGTTCTTCACGGCGCAGCCCTTGGGCCCTCTCGAGCGTCGAGGCCTGGGCTTGGCGGTGGCGCCACAGGCAGCTCCGGGCGCCGACTCGGGCGCAACTCGGGTCGGGCCCGCGGGTGATGGGCAGCGAGCCCCGCGAGCCCGGGCGGCCTGGGAGAGCTGGGGGCGGCGCGAGGCTGGGGGCGGGGCGGGGCGGGGCGGAGCGGGTGGGGCCAGGCTCTGGCTGCCGGGAGACCATTGCCCTCCTCCCAGCCCGGGACCCTCGTCCCTTAAAATTGTTTACCCTTTTCTGAATACCGTAGTGGCATCTTTCTTACTTTGTCCGTTCTCCGGGCTCGAGAGCGTATTTCCGGAGCCATGTCAGAAGGAGTGGACTTGATTGATATTTACGCTGATGAAGAGTTCAACCAGGTGAGAGGGATCATAAGCAGCTTTGGGTTTTCCTTCATCAGTCTACTGACAGTGGCTTCTCTCTCAGCTCAAAATAATTCCCCTTAATATCGAAGCGTTTCCCCCTAGCGGAGGCTTTGAAGACGACTGACCATTCCTCTGTGTTAATTGGAACCTCCAGGCTTCAATTTTAAAGGGTTTGCTTTAAGAGCAAATAAAAAGCCAAGTGTAATAGAATAGTGAATCAGCCTGTGGAATTTGTTTCCCCAAGTCATTCCAAAGTTGGATGACTAACCGTAATTAAAAATCAAAATTACATTTGTTGCAGTATTGTGAGGATAATTTTGATACTTGTTACTTTGCTGTTCTCTCTGCTTGCGGCTCCAGGCTCCAGAATGTTAGTCCCTGCTAGTCCCCTCCCAATGGTGCACACAGTACAAGAGATAACTTTGAAAGACACAGTATACTAGGTACTTTAAAGATGGGGTTCCAGCTCCACTCCAGGTGTCTTTAGTCTTTTTAAATAGTCTAAAATAGTCTTTTTAAACTGTGGTCTTGAGAAGTCTGTGGGCATTTTGATATATGTTTTACTTATAAAACTTAAGATTTCTGGAAGGTGGAAGGGACGTAAAGACCATTGAATAAACTAGTTTAAAGGCAAGTCAAAGGCTAGGTTGAATTTGTTTCTGTCGTTGCATTTTTATTACAATAACAGGGAATTTATACAAATGTCCCTTGAAATAGTAATCTATGCAATTGAATTCTGTGATCTTGAAGTCAAAGCTCAATGGAAACTTTCTCTTTAAAACTTTAATTGTCTAACCTGGGTTCTTCAACACTGTTGTCCTTGAGCAAGCTGGTTCTTGTCATTGGTGTGTTCCAATGGTGTAAAGACCTGGGGAGAATGGGCCAGAGAAATAGAATGCCTGGGTTGGACCCTGACTTTGATAGGAAGCAACAAAAGAGGCTCATATGCCCCGTTATTTTATTTTCAATTTTGTATATGTGTGTGGTTACATGCATGTGAGTGCAGGTGCCCAAGGAGCCCAGCAGTATGAGGTCCCCCTGGAGCTGGTGCTACAGGTGGCTGTGACCTGTAGTACTAGTAACCAAACTCAGCTTCTCTGGACAAACAAAGTGTTCTTAACTATGGAGCCCTCTCCAGTCTTGCTTTCCTGAGTTTTACATGTTTGTTTGAATCAGACTTTCACCATTTGAAATTTATAGCTTTGTTAATTAACAAGACTTTCTTAGTTCTGTACTGCAACTCACTTATTTTAAAGAATAGATGGCAGAATCCTTGACCCTGGGCCATATTTGATCTTAAAAAAATTAATAATTGCTTAAGCAATGTGATTTGAGGGGGGTCGTAGACAAGACATAGTTCTTGTCCAATGGTCAACTGCTTTGTCAAGGTAGACATTATTAACATTGGTAATTTGTTCCTTAGTTAGCTTTTTTTTTTTCTTTTTAAGGACTTTTTGGTCTAAAACCAAAATTAGTGTATGGACTACTTAGTGTATAAATTTGTAGACATATATACCAAACAGGCAATGTTTGATACAGGGAAAATTGAAACAAGTATAGACTTTGAAAGTAGAGAAGGGGAACCCCATCCCCATAAGTTAATTTTTGGCAAAGCTGGTTTTAGTGTAATCTGGAAGTTGTTAAAAGTTGACTTAGATGGAAAGCAATCAGTATAAATTGGGTTGTTGAATATCTTGAGACAGTTACTGACTTGCCCCAAGCTATCCCTGCATACAACTTCCTCAAGAGCACTTTGCTCCCAAAGGAAAATTAGCACAATTACCACATGGAACCCTGTATTTGCTTCTGATCTCTGGTAGCCCGTACTGCAAAAACCTTTTGCAGGGATACTTTATTGATGTTGCATTGGGAGCCCTGGGACTCCCACTGCTCTGCTGGACAGGGGAAAACTAAAACGGTGACTGAGAACTGCCACTCTGCTAAGTTTTCTGTTTGTTCCTTCTCATGCTGAGATGGGCTTGATAGTGTGCTTGGTTCTCTATCAAGAAGGATTTGAACTACTTCTGTCTACTGAGCACTGCCAGAGCTAATGAGTTGTTAGTGTAAGTAAATCCTAGTGCTCAAAAATTGGTGCCATTCCTAGTGGCTAAAAGTAGTAGTGATATTAGTTGGGTGTGGTGATACACATTTATAATCCCAGTGCTCTAAAGACTGAGGCAGTATTGGCTACAAACTGGAGACCAGCTTGGCTACGATGTGAAACTGTTAGAATCCCTCCCTTGCCCCAACAACAACAAAAGTTGTAAAATAACGAAGTGGATGGTAACAATGCAGAGTAATGGGCAACAGTGATGGGGAAGAGGTGTGAGAGGAGAACTGTGAAGATTGAGTGTGAGACCCCAAATTGATGTGCCCTTCCAAAAATGGAAGAAAAAGTAACCAATAGTCAAGATGGTTGCACTAAGAAAAATATACCCAAGTTAGTTAATTCATTGGGTTGATACCAAGAATGGGCTAGAAGGTAGGAACACTGAGCATATTAGAGGGCAAAATCAAATTCCTAATAGGAAGTTTCATAATATAACTAGCCCTGTGTGTGGTGTGTGTGTGGAACACAAAATCTTGCTGAGATACTTATTCAGTGTTGAATGCATGTTTCCAATTTAAACTTCTTACAATAAAAATTTTAGCATTGCCACCTATAAAATGTGGGTATGTGTTTTTTTTTATTTCTTTTGTAGGATCAGTGGGCTTTTTTATTTTGGTTTTTCAAGACAGGGTTTTCTGTAACCCAGGCTATCCTGGAACTCACTGTAGACCAGGCTGGCCTCCAAGTCAGAGATCTATCTGCCTCTGCCTCCTGAAAGATGAAGTCATGTGCCACCATGTCCAGCTATTGCTAGCTTTTTTTTTTTTTTTTTTTTTAAACTGGGGTTCCATGGCTCAGATAGACCATTGAAACCTGGAACATCAAATTCTTTGGATTTTCTTTCTGAAGTGGTAATCTACAGAAACAAGATCCTCCAGGATTGAGCCTCTTTTTGTTCTTTTAGAGATTTTAAAAGAGTCCATTGATTGCCTTTAAGCTAACAGTATGAAAAGGTTTCCACTGATGTGTTTGCTCTCTAAGTTGAAATCTTCCTATTGGCTCACTTTTTTTTTTTTAATCTAGTTTTAATCCAGTTTTTGGTGATGATATCTGTCTTACAACTTTTAGATACATCTCAGAATCACAGATACTGCATAAAAGGAATCCTAGTTTTCTGGCATTGAATATATAAAATATTGTTATTATTGTTTTTAAATTTCATTTGAAAATCTTTTTTTCCCCTTTAAAAAGCCTTCATGGGAGGTATAAAGTCTAGTTGTCCTTAATATCCTTGGGGGATTGGTCTCAGAATCTTCCTCTTTAACAAAGTATTCAGGTACTTAAATCTTTAAAAAAAAAAAAAAAGTTATGAGCCTGTACTGAGGAGGCTGAGGCAAAAAGGGATCGCAAGTTCAAGACCAGTCTTAATAACTTATCCAGACCCTGTTTCAAAATTAAAAAAAAAAAAAAAAATCAAAGATATAGTTCAGTGGTAGAGACTTTCTTTACCTAGCATGCTCAGAACCACTTGGAGAAGGTATTTTTGCATACATAATCTTTATGCATTCCTTCCCCATGCTGTAAAAATGTCTCTAGATGATAATGATTATTTCAACTTTGCTAAGGGTTGAATACAGGCCTTGACTTTTGTAGTTTTGTGTTTTTTTTCATTTATTTTTTATGCATATGAGTGTTTTGCCTGCATGCATGTCTATACACCATGTATGTGCATTGCCTTCAGAGGCCAGGGATGGCATCTGATCCCCTGGGACTGGAGTTGTGAGCTGCCAGTGGGTGCTGAGAATCAAACCCAGGTCCTCTGGAAGAGTGGCCATTGTTCTTAACCACTGAGCTATCTCCTCTGCCCCCATCTTAAAAGGCAAAAGCCTTTTAAAATAAAGGATGTTTTCAGCTGATATTTAGCTAGATGGGAAACTGACAGATACGGAAAGCTAAGTATAGTGGTTTCTGAGGATTAGAGCATTGAACAGGATGGAGTCATCAAGTTTTTTTGGGGGGAGGAGGGGATTTGTTTGTTTGGGATTTTGGTGATTTACTTAGTTTTACATTTGTTTGTATATGGCAAGTGTGTTGAGATCAGAGGACAAGACTTTTCTTCTACCGTGTGGTCCTGGTAATTGAACTCATGAGCCACAGAATCATCTCATTGGTGTTGGTTTTTTCAAGATGGTCTGATGCAGCCCATGCTGCTCTCAAACTCTGTGTGAAGCCAGTTGTGAACTGCTGATGATCTGCCACTACTTCCCAAA